CTACACTTTTTGGACATTCATTTTATGTATATGACATGTGGCCGAGGACCAAACTTCTTTTGGAATCACATGTATGCCATAAATGTTGAATTTTGCCTTTTAATGAAAATAATATGAAAATCAATGGTTTTAACATGTCATTTTTGCACCGGAGTGTGCATTGTGTATGAAATTTATTATTCGGTATTCATTTAATATGCATGAGGTGTGACTAAAGTCCAAACACTATTTCATTCTCATCTTAGCATTTTGGTTTCATATATTACATTTTGGGTAAAAATAGGAAAATGCGAGGTTTTAGTGGTCCATTTTCAAATCGAGTGGTGTAAAGTGTGCACGAGCACGTCCACTAAGACTCATTTAATATGCATGAAGTGTGGCCAAGGGCCAAATGGTCTTTTGATTGCATTTAGGTCCGGTTGTTGCATTTTTTGGCTTTAAAGGGGATTTTTCTCGCATTGGAGTTTGGGTAAGTCATATTTTGCATCGGTGGTATTGTTAAGCCATGGATCATTGTACCACGTCCTAATAGGTATGTTACATCTGTGTGCATGATCATTTCTGGGAAAAACCTCTTCCTTGGTGATTTGAGTACCCTTTGGACTCATTTTACATTTTTCTTTGCAAATCTGGTTTAAAGGGCATTTTGGGTATTTCTCTTGAAAAATAAATTCCGGCCTTGACATGGTTGACCAGAAAATATGATTTTAGGGGGGGCAACTTCATAAATTTTTTCAAAAAAGTCCCTTAAAGGCCTCAAAATTGCATTTCAAGTTGGATGATCTAGTGCAGCCTTAAATAGACGAGCGGCTCGTAAAAAGGGGACGAGCGCTCCAATTTTGGGCAGTGGGCTCTGACCTAATACGATAGCCACACAAATGCTGGATGAGCACTCGTCTGGCACGATAGCTTGGATGAGCACTCGTAGCTCTTGGACGAGCGCTCCAAGCCTTTTTTTTTTAGGTTGACTCAACTTTGACTCTCCGACATCAAATAGTCATATCTCTTTCGTTTTAACTCCGAATTAGTCCGTTCTTGAGTCTAAAATGACCGCATCGAAATAAGCTTTCCAATAGTACCAATTATAGTTTCATATTCCTCTTGTACCTTAAGATATTAAAGATTTAGTGAAGGAGTGTCAGGATTTGGTTCGAACCAAGATAGAGTTCCTTTTGGGTTTCTCTTCCTTTGACTTTGGGACTTGATATCTTTGTCGTCTAGCCTCTGAATCAAGTGATTGTTGAGTCTATCTTTATTTATTTTTCGTTGTCTATCCAATGGTTTACACAGTGGAACCCATTTTATTTTGGAATGACCATTTTGCCCTTAGTCCATTATTAGAGGGTTTTGAAACCCTAACTTCAGTCTTACTTCCGCTGAGTCACGGGACTCCTCGGAAGGCCACTCTCGTGTCCTAGGAATGATGTACATCTCTATAGACTTGTTTATGTTTTGCTTCCGCATTTTGGATCCATTTTGGGTTATGACATGACACACTAGGTTTGTAAAATCCAGGGTTGTCACATTTTTCGTAAATATCTTTTGAAGATATTTTATTTTGAGAGTTTTCAAGAAGGTATCTTTTGGAAGATATTTTCATTTTGGGTCATTCGTGCAATTATACTTTTATGGAGTGGCCTTTGTGCAATTAACAATAGTTAATGCCAAGTATATTGTTTTGGCATTGGATCCTCGTACGTGATTCATTTTCACTTTTCGTCGAATCATGTACCCTTAGAATTGCCTTCTGGTTATTTTCCCCAGTTTTAGGGTTTTCGACCCCGGTTGCTGTCAAACTTGTTCGGGGCATATCTTTCTACTCGGGACTCGGTTTTTGACGTTGTTTCTTTTGTTGTTCATTTTTCCTTATTTCGGTTCTTTTTTGTTCATGGTGTTTTTCATTTGAGTGCGTGTGCTTATATTTCATTTTTCAGGGCCGGGCAAGACCAGTTCGGGCACTTTTTGAGATTTCTATAAATAGAAGGGAGGAGAGAGAAAAAGTCAGATTCTTCTTCTTTCTCTCCCATGGCTATAGGCTATCTTAGCCCCCTTTGGACTACCACCTTATTCCTTCCTTTTGGACCTCTTCCCCTTTGATTCTTCCTTGGACGATGAAAGCTTTATCATCGGCCTTGACGAGCCCTTCATTCCCCTCTTTTAGAAACCGATTTTGACCATTTTTGAGTTCAGGTTTTGAGTTCGGGTTTGAATTTGGGTGTTACTGCAAGAGGGTATGTTGTTCCCCTTGTTGTCACCGTCGTAACCCCGAAGTATCGTCGAATTCGGAGAAGTTTCATTTTGGTGTCATTTGAGATTTTCATCTCAAATTGAGGTAGGGGATGTTTATTGGTTATAATCTTAGTGTCTTAATTGTTTTTGAGGTTCATATAACTTATATGCATGTCTTTGTATATAATAGAATTTAATTATTTTCTTTTTATGAAATTTAATTCACATAGTTGTATCTAGTGTGGAATTAACTTAAGATATGATATTAAATTAGGCATTTACTTGTTCATTAATATATATTAATTTGAGAATATTTGGATGAGTTTCGAAATCTAGAAATTTTAATTAAATGAATTAATTAAAATCCATTTAACGGTTCCATTGATTTAATTAGGTATTTAACTTGATATATGTAATGCTCTTGACTTGTTCTTTAGCATATATTAATTTGAATAATTTGGAGTTGCTTTAAAATCTAGAGATTTAATTATTTTATTTTTAATTAAATTTTGTATTCCAATGATCTAATTAAGTTTTTGACTTGATATATATAATGACTATACTATAATCTTTGACATATATTAATTGGGCATTATTTAGATGAGATTTGAAATCTAGGTAAATTAGTTAATTAGTTTAGTTAGTTTTTATTTAAGTGTTCTATTCATTTAAATAAGTATTTGACTTAATATATGTAATGACCACACTCTGATCCTTGACATATATTAATTAGGAAATATTTGGATGAGATTTGAAATCTAGATAAATTAATTATTTTATTTAATTAATTTTTATTTTTATTGCATTAATGATTTAATCATATATTTGACGTTGATTGTATGTTTAAATTATGCTTTTAGACTTATATTATATTCATGAGATTTTGTTTTGAATATTGATAATATTGTTGTTATGTGTAATGAATCGCACACTGAATATTCGACATTTATATGCATTGTACGTGTAACAAATCGCACACTAAAGATTTAACCATTTGTATGCCATAATAGTTGAGGACATAGACCATGTATTGTGTGTTTCCAAGGATTGTGCATGATAGATAGCTTATACCTTATATATATATGTTGATATATACGTTGTTGCACAACTTATTGATTTTGGAAACTTGGGACGTTGTTGTATGACTATGGCTATGGCATGGTTCTTGTGACGATCCAGATTTTTCAAGCCAGTGCGTCAGTGATGACCCGTAAGTTGACCCGATAACTGATTTGAAATGCGGAAGCAAAAGATAAACCAATGTCTTTAGGGATGTACATCATCCTTAAGACGCACAAGTGACCTCCTATAATGTGACGGAACTTATGAAGAACTAAAGACTAAAGAAGAAAACAAGGATCAATGGACAAATCCTTAATCCAAGGGTAAAATGATCAAGTCACAAAAAAAGGAGATTTGACTCTAAATAAGTCAAATGAGGTTTACTCAACCTAATCTAATTGTATAACAACACTCCAAGATGGTTCTAAGACGATTGGCCAAGAATCCCACAAAAAAAACCCCATTCCCGGTTCAAGTAGAATCAAACATTGTCTCACTAAAACATGAATAATCTTTACTATAGTTAGAATCTGAGAATGGCATTGGTACCATTGGAAAGTTGACTCAAAATCCTTGAGTTGGGTTTAAGAATCACCCCATTTAGATTAGAAACGAATGAGATGCACTCGTTTGAAGTTGATAATAAGTGCACAAAACTTGTTATTTTATACTTTATAATAAATGATTAATTAATATTTTTTATTAGATAAATGTTCTTATCCCTACTTTTCATATTTTATAGGGGCTGATTTCGGAATAAGAAGAAAAGAAACAAAAATAGCATAAATGTGGAATTATACGATCAATCAAAGTCAAATTAAGAAATTGCCTTTTCCATTAAATCAGCAAAGATCAAGCCAAATTGGAAAATATATTAAGACAGATTGGAAAGTACGTCAAGTCAAAGATCAAGCCAAATTGGAAACAGCAAGATTTTAGGAAGAATTTTATTTTATTTTATTTTCACTTCTGTAATTTGAATTTTCTCCTCCCAATTCTTCCATTCTAAACTCTATAAATAGGGACATATGTAGAGGAGGTTGGATATACATTGTTAGTGAGATAAAATAATAAAAGTTAGAGAATTTTTGTCTTCAATTTATTTCTTATAATTTTTGTTATGAAAATTGTTTTTATTTCTTTATTTTGTTTTTTTTTTTTTATTATGCTAACTTAAACACCCATTCTCAAGGGAGTGATAAAGCCACCATGGCTGAAATATAAGTAAATTTAATTTAATTCTTTTATAAAATTTTCTCTTTAGAGCATTATTTTACTCTTCTATTCTGTGTTCTTATTTTGATAAAAAAAAAAAAAAATTAGAAAGAGGATTCTTCGTGTTTGCCAGTAATTCGAAGAATGCCTATTTCTATTTACCAAAGATATATCAGATTAAGTAAAATATGTTCTCAAGTAGTTATTATTTCACACTATTATTTTCCTTCATCTTCCTAAGTTGTAATTGGACTGGTGAAGTGATTTGCTTATAATAAGCTGTGGTGGTAGATTCTTCCCTTGAAATTTTTTTCTTATTATTTGATCAGAATTTATTTCGTCTTATTTATTTATTTTGTTTTTAATTTATTAATAATAAATCAATAAATTGTTTTAAAAGTTATCCTTCCTTAAATTTTAGTTTTAATTTTAATTCACAAGTTTAAATCTTATATAGATCGACTTTGCTTATTTTATATCATCTTTAATTTAATTTTTGCAAATTTTTTTTTATTTTTGTACAAAGCGTAGAAAAACAATGACTGAATTTAATTCTACACTTGTCAAATGGCGCGTTGCCGCATTAAGTTTGAAAATTCGAAGATCGATTCAAACTAAAATTTGTGGGAGTCCACCCAAACTTCATTTATTGATTATTACGTCTCTACTGTTCTTTGCTAATTTTTATTTTTTTTAATCTTATTTTCCTTACTTTTCTTTTATTTTTCTTCCTTCTTCCAGGTATTGACCTTTGAAAAAATATCCCACCACTCTTCCATCCATCATCACCAACAAGCACCCATCACCAGTCTTCCAACAACCACCCATCACCACTCTCAACCACCAAACACCACCCAAAATCCCACTCTCAACCACCAAACCCCACCCAAAATCCCATCCCGTCACAACACCTAAACCAGTATACCCCCATTGAAAAAAATAATAATAATAAAAAATAAAAAAGCATTAACCCATCTGCTTCGCGAGACAGCCCCGCCGGAATCGCGCAGTCACCGACAGAACTTAACCCACAGCCGTCGTCGTCGGATTTGAGGGTTTTGCCGTCGGAATTTCACGATCCTTTTTGCTCGTCGGTTGCCGTTCAATTACGCCAAGAATAGATCCTCGTAGCTTCGTTGTCATCCGAATCCTCTCTGGTTGCCGATCCAATCACAGCCATTGCCGTCTTGAAGCTTTCTTCCTCGCCGACGTGAAGCCCCCACTGGTCGTCGCTGGAAGTTTTTCTGGGTCTGTTAAATTGATCGTTTGGTACAGTGTATTTGGTAATAAGTATATAAAAAAAATTAAAAAAAAAAACGAGGCTTGTTTGGTTACATACACAGCACTATCCCAATTCTGAAATCCGTACAGCACTGAACCAGTTGTGCCTACACTAGTTTCATTCAATAAACTAGCTTGAAAAAAAAAAAAAAATACAGATTGTTGATTCGGATGGTGGGCTAATTTGGGAGCATTCAACACTTGGATATTCTTATTGGAGCGCGTGGAATCATGACAAACCATTACTTTGTCGTCCAGGTAAGTACCTCATTTGTACCGCGTAACTCCCGTAAGCGGTTTATTTTATTTTATTTTATTTTTTTTAGATTAGGAAAACATAGTTTTTTTTAGGTATATAATTTTTGCATGCGAACTCTAGGATAGAATAACTTAGAAATAACCCTAGTTTCACACTTCCTTCCATTTTATTTTTATTTTTACTTTTATTTATTTTATATTATTTTTTATCTTTAAAAAAAAAAAAAAGAGAGAGAGAGAAGGAAGAAAATTCACACACTCCACTCCCTTTTTCTTTTTATTGGTTGTTTTGCCATTGCATATTTTAATTAGCATTTGCATAAGCTACTTAAGGGCAGAATCCCAACAAGATACGGTCGGGATTTCATTACTCATTTCCGTGGCCCACAAATCACATAATCTGAGCATTTGTTAAACCCTGAGCTGAATTTAATTAAAATTCATTTAGACATCAGCCATTTCTAGGGTTACGAGCTCATAGGCCCTCTGGGAAGGACGCGATTGTTAATAACTCCAGTAAGTCATTATCAAATTGATAAACGGTAGGCCAGTTCTGACTAGGAGTGTGGACGAACCGTCATTAGCAGACCAAGAGCCTCTCCACTCTTTCCTGGGAACTACTCCATTGTTAGTTTGATGGTCCTTATCTGGTAATCTCTCAACTTAAATTTGGAAAAGAGTAGGAGTAGTCTAATTAGGGAGAATTAATTTGGATACCATCCTATTAATTCTTTTTACGATTAGATTAAAAAATTCATCACCCATAAATTTAAGCTCAAGATAAAAAGGACAAAAAAGTAAAACACATAATTGGATATCATCAATAGACCAACCGATGGCTTCTTTATTCGCCCTAAGCACCTCAAGTAGCTGGGTCTCCTAGTTGGAACCTACCTTTTGAGATCATGTGTGATGTGTCAGATTATGCAGTCGGGGCTGTTTTAGGGCAAAGAGTTGATAAAGCACCCTATGTTATCTACAATGCTAGTAAGACCCTGAATGATGCCCAATTCAACTACTCAACCACTGAAAAAGCATTGTTGACGGTAGTGTTCTCTTTTGACAAATTTCGCTCTTTTTTTGATAGGATCTAAGGTCATCATTTATACCAATCATGCTGCGTTGAGGCATTTTCTCTCTAAGAAAGATGCCAAACCTAGGTTGATCCGATGGATCTTACTCCTTCAGGAATTTGACCTTGAAATCCGTGATAAGAAAGGCTCTGCGAATGTAGTCGCTGATCATTTGTCTCGTCTAATGGTTGATTCGATTAGCAATTCTCTTCCCATCTCTGATTATTTCCCTGATGAGCAACTTTTTGCAGTATCTCCTGCACCATAGTATGCCGATATTATCAATTACATTGTCACAAGTCAAACCCCTTTTACTTGGTCCAGGCAGGAACGAGATAAATTTCTAGCTAAGGTTAAGGAATATTTTTGGGATGACCCCTACCTGTTTAAGTATTGTCAAGATCAAATCATCCGTAGGTGTGTCCCCGAGGTAGACCAAGAGTCCATCATTTCATTCTGTCATGATCAGGCCTGTGGTGGCCATTTTAGCTCTAAAAGGATTGCTACAAAAATCTTACAATCTGGATTTTATTGGCCCACCCTTTTTAAGGACATCCATACCTACTGTGTAGCATGTCCTAGATGCCAACTCTTAGGTAAGATTACCAAAAGGAATGAATGGCCCCAACAATCCATACTAGTGGTTGAAATCTTTGATATTGACTTCATGGGACCCTTTATCTCTTCATATGGGTATACCTATATCCTTTTGGCCGTTGATTATGTGTCCAAATGAGTAGAAGCCTTAGCCACTAAGATAGCCGACCATAGGGTTGTGGTGAAATTCTTGAAAGACTTAATTTTGTCCCACTTCGGTACACCTCGAGCCATAATCAGTGATAATGGTTTACATTTCTACAACAAAGTCTTTGCTAGCCTAATGTCCAAATATGGGATCACCTATATGGTAGCCCTATCTTACCACCCACAAACCAATGGTCAGGCTGAGGTATCCAATAGGGAGATCAAACATATCTTAGAGAAAACGGTTAAACCCACAAGAAAGGACTGGAGTCTCCGCCTTCATGATGCTTTATGGGCCTATCGTACTGCTTATAAGACCCCTCTAGGAATGTCTCCATATCGATTGGTCTATGGTAAAGCCTGTCACTTGCCTGTCGAATTAGAACATCGTGGGCCATCAAGGCCATGAACTTTGATTATGATCAAGCTGGTGAGCGTAGGACACTTCAACTTAATGAGTTGGAAGAACTCATAAATGATGCCTATGAGAGTTCAAGGATTTATGAAGCTAAGACTAAATTGGAACATGACAAAAATTCTCTAACTTTTATTATTTTATCTCACTAACAATGTATATCCAACCTCCTCTACATATGTCCCTATTTATAGAGAAAATTCTAATTACAGAAGTGAAAATAAAATAAAATAAAATTCTTCCTAAAATCTTGCTACTTTCCAATTTGGCTTGATCTTTGACTTGACGTGCTTTCCAATCTGTCTTGATATATTTTCCAATTTAGCTTGGTCTGTTGATTTAATGGAAAAGGCAATTTCTTAATTTGACTTTGATTGATCGTGTAATCCCACATTTCTGCTATTTTTGTTTCTTTTCTTCTTATTCCGAAATCAGCCCCTATAAAACATGAAAATCAGGGATAAGAACATTTATCTAATAAAAAATATTAATTAATAATTTATTATAAAATATACAATAACAAGTTTTATGCACTTTTCAAATTACCCCCAAACAAGCTTTTGCTAGTCTTCTAGCAATTAAAGGCAAAAAGAGATAAGTTTACAAAATTGTTACTTTAACTGACTCCTAACTAAAAATGTGCCACTTTCGCAGGCTACTTTCGATTGCATTTACCATATGCAATAAGGTCTTAAACCCCTAGGTTACCCTAGTGGACGAGCTATGGCCTCGTGAGGGTGTCCAGAAATGATACCCACAAACATCCAAAATTGTGCACACTTTGCACTTAGCTCACTTACTTCCATGGAATCAGAAACGATTGCACACACATCATCATCAAGTTAGTTATTATGTTAAATATAATAAAGATTAATATTCTCAAGCAATCACAAACCTCTAATCGCATGCAATAATACTATGGTCCCCACACAAAGTTCAATTCAACATATTTCCAATAACAATCAATCCCTAATTTCATTTTGAAGTGAACTAGCATCCAATTATGTGTTTTACCCTTTTGTCCTTATATTACACATTACAATAGCTTCAACTCATTAATATTCCCTTATAAGTTAAAGTACCCAAGGCATGAATTCATAACTTTACTTATGCATGCGAATTTTAATCTTTCTTTCTTCCATCATCATCTTTTTTTTTTTTTTTTTGGTTCCTAAGAAGTCCGACATTACTGTCGTTCCTAATGATCGTAATGAGTTAGTTCTTACCCATGTCCAAACAGGATGGAGAGTTTGCATCGACTATCGAAAGCTCAATAGTGTAACTAGGAATGATCATTTTCCTCTACCATTTATTGACCAAATGTTAGAGAAATTGGCCGGTCAGTCATACTATTGCTTCTTAGATGGTTATTCTAGCTATAATCAAATCCCTGTCCACCCTGATGACCAACACAAGACCACTTTTACCTGCCCATTTGGTACATTTCTTTATCGTCGTATGCCATTTGGCTTATGCAATGCACTCGCTACATTCCAGCGATGCATGATGAGTATCTTTAGTGACATGGTTGATAAGTTTTTAGAAATTTTCATGAATGACTTCTCTGTTTTTGGCTCGTCATTTTAACAATGTCTGCACCATCTTACTCTCGTGCTTCAGCGTTGTCGTGATACTAACCTCGTTCTTAATTGGGAAAAATATCATTTCATGGTCCCAAAAGGAATTGTCCTAGGTCATACCGTCTCTAGTGCCGGAATCGAGGTAGATAAAACAAAAATTGATCTTATCTCCAATTTACCCATTCCTAAAACTGTCCACGACATTCGAGTTTTCCTAGGTCATGCTGGTTTCTATAGGCGTATCATCAAAGACTTCAGTAAGATAGCACAACCTTTGACCCATCTTCTAGCTAAGGATGCCCCATTTGAGTTTACCGATGCTTGTCACTCTGCTTTTGAGCAATTAAAATCCGCTTTCACTACTGCACCCATAATCCGGTCACTTGATTGGAACCTACCTTTTGAGATCATGTGTGATGCGTCAGATTATACAGTCGGGGCTGTTTTAGGGCAAAGAGTTGATAAAGCACCCTATGTCATCTACTATGCTAGTAAGACCCTAAATGATGCCCAATTCAACTACTCAACCACTGAGAAAGAATTGTTTACGGTAGTGTTCTCCTTTGACAAATTTCGCTCTTATTTGATAGGATTTAAGGTCATCATTTATACCGATCATGCTGCGTTGAGGCATCTTCTCTCCAAGAAAGATGCCAAACCTAGGTTGATCCGATGGATCTTACTCCTTCAGGAATTTGACCTTGAAATCTGTGATAAGAAAGGCTCTGCGAATGTAGTCGCTGATCATTTGTCTCGTCTAGTTGTTGATTCGATTAGCAATTCTCTTCCCATCTCTGATTATTTCCCTAATGAGCAACTTTTTGCGGTATCTCCTGCACCATGGTATATCAATATTGTCAATTACATTGTCATAAGTCAAACCCCTTCTACTTGGTTTAAGCAAGAGCGAGATAAATTTCTAGCTAAGGTTAAGGAATATTTTTAGGATGACCCCTACCTGGTTAAGTATTTTTAAGATCAAATCATTCGTAGGTGTGTCCCTGAGGTAGACCAAGAGTCCATCATTTCATTCTGTTATAATCAGGCCTATAGTGGCCATTTTAGCTCTAAATGGACCGCTGTAAAAATCTTACAATCCAGATTTTATTGGCCCACCTTTTTTAAGGACACCCATACCTACTGTGTAGCATGTCCTAGATGCCAATTCTTAGGTAAGATTACCAAAAG